AACAAATAGGTTTTTTTTCTCCCCAACATCAGCGCAGTCACTTCAAAACTTGGCATAAAGGGAGTAACACAGGCAAGGCATCTTAGATAGATTTTATTCTTATAAAGAAGAGAGATAGAAGATAATTATTGGACCCAAGAGCACAACCAAACACAATCACTGATCATCATCCTCATTATTATCATCATGTAACAGGTTCTTTGCAGAACGTCGATCTCATCACAGTCGGCCAGAAAAAAACCCGATCGCTTGCCAGCTCTTCCACTTCATGAACTTTCATATTCAGGAGACATTTATACCCTGTGCCAAACTTCATGTTGATCGGCCCCTGTCCCTCCTTCCTGGTACCATGCCTTGTGCTATTATTTTTATATTTATCCAGTCCGCCATGGCGTTTGATATGAAAAACATATTTCAGCTTCGAGACAAGATGCTGTTTATTAGCCGATTTTCCTTGATGCTAAGATCTTTTAAAACGCCAATATTTCTTCTCTTCTTTGTCTATGGTATTCTGAGAATCTTTCTACATAATTTCAGCTCAAAAGCCCCTATTTTGATATTCCCTTATTGCTCTCACTTCGATCGCCCTTGTTCGTGTACATAGTTATGATGCTTGATTCGTTAAAGTCTGGTGAAACCTGTACCTCACACCAGCAGAGTGTCATTAGCTTCTGCTGGAACTCAAAACACTTTTCTGGGTCTTTAGTTTGAGAAAAGTTTAATATGTCGGACATGTAGAACTTTGGGAGAGAACTAAACAGGCTCCAGTGGATCAGGAGATGAGGAAAAGACGCTGGCGTTGGATTGGGCACACACTGAGAAAACAGGAGAACAGCATAACTAGAATGTCTTTGCATTGGAACCCACAGGGGCATAGGAATAAAGGAAGGCCAAAAAACACATGGAGAAGAGAGCTGGAGAATGAGCTTAGAAAGATTGGGAGGACAAGGGGAGAGCTCCATGCAATGGCGAAGGATAGAACAACTTGGCGTGAGTTGGTTGAGGGCCTATGCTCCATTGGGGGATAGAAAGGCAGAAGAAGAAGAAGAAGATATTGGGGCCCAGTGCCGTCGTAAAACATGGACCTGTGCATATAGGCCCCATGCTAATCTGCGTACGTGAAGTGACCATTTACACCTAATGTCTGTGTGTAGTCGTTGTAGGGGCCCCATACCCTGATTTGTCCAAGGGTCCATAATTCCCCACACAGCCTCGCGGAAAATTAGGGAGAGGGGCTAAGGGTCCCAATAATATTAGTGAGCAAAGCCACCGACACCACCCCACTACACCCCCACCCTCAGATATACAAGGGGACGTCAATAAGTAAGTCACAAATGGTTATGGGATAGCAGGAAAAATGTAGTTAGTGCTTTCTCATGGTGTCATTGGGTGAAAACAACATCGAACTTTACGTCTCCGTCTGTTAGGTTGCGCTAGGTGTCGCATGCGCATTTGCAACACAGAACAAAATGGTCGCTGTACTTACGGAGCGTACCTTCAAAGAACAACGTGCTGTTGTGCGGTTGTGTGTGTGTGTGTGTGTGTGTGTGTGTGTGTGTGTGTGTGTATGTGAGTGTGTATGTGTATGTATGTATGTATGTGTAAAGCAAAAGGGATGCCAGCAAAAGACCTTCATAAGGAAAAGCTTCCTGTTTATGCTGACAAAAGTTTATCCCGTAAAGCGGTGCATAGCTGGGTAAAACATTTTTCTTAAGGACACCAGGCCTGCTGACTAGAGGAAAACTGCCCCTTTATGACAATGCCAGACCACATACGGCTTGGTTAACTCAGGACGAAATTAACCATCTAAGGTGGGAACTTCTGGAACATCCACCTTAACAGCCCTGACTTAGCACCTAGCGTTTTCCACCTTTTTGGTCCATTGAAAACCCACCTTGGCGGAAGACATTTCGCGAATGAAGCAGAAGTTGAATGTGAAGTGAACATGTGGTTTATAAAATAGAGCATGCAGCTCTATGCAGCAGGTTTTGGATGACTGATAAAAAGATGGGACAAGTGCATCATAGTTGGTGGAAATAATGTTGAAAAATAAGGGACAGTGTAGGTTTTAAAGTTGTTATGTTCTCATGTTTTTTTTTTGGTGTGAATAAAATTTAATGAATCGCTTATTGACTTCCCCTCGTATTATGCATTTGTAATATATTTCATAATATTTTAAATAGATAATATTTGCATAATGATGATGATCCCAAAAAAACTAATTGCGCATTTAAACAAGGCTTAAGCCCCTCCATAATTATTTAAGAGTGACAGAGCCTCAAATAATTTAAACCCTGTTTAGATGCGCAATAATAGTTATTATAAGATGGAGATAGGTATCCTTCATGCCGAGTGGAGTGGAAAACGTCGCTTTAAAGGTCTCGTTTAGTTATCGTCCTTTGAATATTTTCTCCAGGGCATGCAACGTTCTGGGAAGCAAGAAGGCACACGGACCAGACGTGGTAAACTGATGCCTAACAAGCTAGGTGATAGAAGAGCCCTTTTGGGAGCAAGGAGCAGAACGGAAGCACAATTTGATCATCATGATCTGAAGAGAATGATACCGAGAGGAATAGTCAGGAGATCTGGCTGACGCTCAAACACTCAACGGAAGGGTAACAAACACGCAATCAAAAAGTTGCTGGCGCACTGGAACTGAAATTCTTTACTGGTTGCTGAAGATGGAGACGGAGAACTTATGGGAATGCCCCGAGTGCTAAGAAGTTGGTACTTAACTTATTTCAACTCATCCAGTAAAATATTCATGTCTGGTAGCTCGAGGCTGAATTAAGATTTCCACTGACCTGAACAGGAAAACGGAGTCGTGTATTTTATCGTTAAAGTCTTGGCGATATGCATCCCGCCTTACATTAATGACGTACAGTGCTGGACAAGTCACAGTAAACAGCGTTGGCTGCTAGTTCATATGCATGCTCGTTGCCTTGAACACACACAGAACATAAAGCTGGCAGAAACAAATATTTTAGAAGACTCGCTCGTGATACAATCGGAACCTCTGGCCCAGTATGGCAGATAAGCAGGTCGTCTTGTTAAGTCTTAATAAGCTATTTCTTTCTGGTATGAGTTAACTTTGCATTTCCTTCCATATGTGGACTAAAAATATACAAGTATACAGTTCCGTCGCCCAGCAACTGAGATGAAAGCAAGCCGCGACACTGTGAGCTGCTGATTTCATTTGGAATACTTAACATCTATGCTTAAAATGGTTTGTGTTGGGAACTGCAGGTTCAGAAATGGCATAAGGTGTGCTGTGACAGAACTGGTATTGTCCCATGAAATATTTCGTGTGTATTCGCTGATTTGATGTAACTGCTGTTTCCATCGACAATGAACTGCAGTTCTTTTAGTAAACTGTTTGTGCTGGCACGTCTGATGACTGTCTTATACATTTAACGCGTGTGTATGCTACTGGTTTGGTCGAGATTGCAGTCTTTTTCCGTATTTTTTTTTTTCACAAGGGACGGCGCTGGGCATTCTGTGTGGTTTTCGCTTGCGCAGGAACAGACCAACAATGGAGTGACTCGTTTGACTGAAGGCAGAACTGCGATTATTTCATTAACGGACACAGGCTATTCCTTTATGATAAAGAGGGTCTGGATTTTCCAACAAAAGATGCAGTGACAGATTTGTACTTGTGTGTATTTATCTTTCAAGTTTTGTCTTACAACACAGTCAAAAAAGGTTTATGAAACTTATTTTTGTTGTTATAAATAGGACAAATTAAAACTTGAAAGGCATATAATTTTTAATCCACCATATCAACATTAGGAACACTAAGAAAGTGAAATATAACAGCAGGACAAAAATTTAAAACGAAACAAAATTTTTTTAAAGTTTACTCATGTTAATCCTAATGAGAGCAGTGAACCCTGCGCGTTGCTAACAATTCATGAATCTTCGGCTCTACTTTGGTCAGCAGCATTCTGAATTTCGTGCGAATAGCTATACCTATACACAGTTGGCGCAAATGGTTGGTGGCATTGTTCTTTGCGAGGGCAAAAAAAAGTGCCGGTACTCACAAAAAAAGGCCTTAAAACGGGCCGATACTTGCGACAAAGGGTCTAAAAACTTTCCGGTACTTACGACGAAGGGTCTAAAAACGTGCCGGTACTCACGACCAATAGTCTATTAAAGCAGCAATGAAACAAATGAGGACTAAAAGAGATGCCGGTTCTGCGTATAGTTGCATACCGACCCCTTTCTTCCCAGTCCAAGAGTCCTGGTTGCTCGTATTAAGAGTAAACATCCACATTCAATGTCGTGACAAAAAGAAAGCTGACAGGGAAGACAAGCATAAGAATAACAGAACGGTGATCTTCATGACCTTGACATCATGGTGAACGTCTCTGTAGGAATTAAACGCCATTGCAGTCTGGAGAGAGTAGTGATGAAGGGTGCAGTTTGCCGAAAACGAGGCAGAGTGAGAGCACTACGAAGTTTAATATAAGACATGAAGATGCATTGGTTATGAAAGCACACAAGAGTTCAAGAAATGGCTTGAGAAAGAGGTACTTTCAGGCGTACCGTGGCAAGAGCGACGTTCTGTAAAAGATCTGATGGTTGATGATGAGGAAGTAACCATAGCGGCAGACGCCGTAGACAACGACCAACTTAATTCAACCAACGACCAACTTCATTCGACCTACGACCAACTTCATTCGACCAACGACCAACTTCATTCGACCAACGACCAACTTCATTCGACCAACTACCAACTTCATTCGACCAACGACCAACTTCAATCGACCAACTACCAACTTCATTCGACCAACGACCAACATTATTCGACCAACGACCAACTTCATTCGACCAACGACCAACTTCATTCGACCAACGACCAACTTCATTTAGGCAACGGCTATGGTCTACTGTTGTGAGACCATATGCGTATGACTTATAAGAGATACACAAATGGAAGTATGTAAGTATCACAGAAGTGGTGATGTACAATCCCTATAATCATTGTATGCGTGCATTTTTCAAATCACATTTGAAAATGCCCCTTTATGAGGCAAACATTCCATAAAGTGACAAAATTCGCATGTTTCAAGAAAAGGAAGGAACCACTGAAGAAAGACAACCCCTAAAATAATGAGTATGAATCCGAAAAAGACCAGACGGGCGCGGATATAGCCCCGTCGGTCACCAAATATTATGTATGGAATCACAACGAAACCCAAAATGGCGCCTGTGATAAGGCCGGTCAAGAAAGATGCAAGGCTGATCAAGGGCCACGTACCCAAAAATGAAATGAATAAAATAATTGATAACAATTTAATAGTTTCCAGTAGTGGATACTGTAGAAAATTCCAAGCTTGACACACTTCTAGAACGGCGACGGCAAGGATTCCTGCAACGCCGCTAGTGGAGCCTACATGTGGAGACACAGGTTCCATCGTGTTCGCTACCTACATAGAAGAGAGCAGTATGTTACCCGTTAGGTCAATGAAATTTGAACACATCACTAAAATATATACACTTAATACTAAACTAAGGCAAAACACAGTAGCTAGCAATAAGAAATTTTTTTAGGCAGGCAGGTTTTATATTGTTGTCGTCGTCGTCATCATCATCATCATAATTATCATCATCATCAACATCGTCGTCAACATCATCGTCACCATCGTCATCATCATCATCATCATTATGTAGCCGGTCACTCGTACGCACACACGAAATAAATTATCTTCTTAGTGTGCTAGCGGGAAGAAAAAGAAGGAAACACACAGAAGTTAGGGAGATAAAGGAAAATTGTAACTAAAAAAAAGTAGTTCCCCACTAAACAGCAAAAACAGGAAAGTAAAGAAAAGAAAGGGGTTCTTTTGCGCAGAGATCCTATAATATTTCACTTAGACCCAGACAAAGAATATGTGTATCGTGAGTTACATGACAACAACCTGGATACATGGCTACACACACCACGTGCATGGACTACATATCTTACACTGAATCAAGCACATGACTTATAACCATCACACTAAACAGCTGTTTATTTTACCGAACTGAACACAGAATTAACTTTTGCTTCACAAATAATACATTAACAACAACCAACGTGCTTGACCAGAATCTAAAATGCTAATCATCCCCAGCTTACAAAGAAATATTATAATGACACCATATGCTCAGCGAGATTACCTCAACAATGGCAAAAACCAAAACATATTAAACATGTACGTTAGGCTTCAATACGCCACCAGACCAACAAATCACAAAAAGCGACCTGCCATCCTAGCGAGAATACATCCCGACATATTACACAGTATAACTACTAGAGACTACTATTTCAGGACTAAATATGGAAACATACCACAGCCACGAAATCAGCCGGACAACCGGTCTTCTTTGCAGTCGCCCATACCCATGCTGGCTAGCCTAATATGCAAAGCTACAACAGCTGGGTAGGTCTCCACAGGGTGAGTTCGGAAGTCAAATAGACTGCTAAAATACTAAGCAAGGTATTTTATTAACCGATGGCTGGCCAGGTTTTTCCGAATATTGTAAACCAGAGTATCCGCCAAACAAACCATAATCGTCAAGCTGCTGAACAGCAGTCTTTGTCGTTCTCCGACCTATCACATTTTACAGCTCACCCACCTCACGCACTTTCCTGCCTAACGCTTGATAAGAAAAGACGCTGTTTATGTGTTGTTTTCCCTGATGTTAAGATCTTTTAGAATGTAGTAGTTATTTTCTTCTTGGTCAAACAATACCAATGCAAGAATCGATAATTATGGTATGAAGATTCTCCGTGTTGGTTCCGGGGCCCTAATGTAGGGGAAAACAAGAATAGACCCAGTGCCTGTCCAAAAGCATATCGTAAGAGTCGACTAAATGGGAGCTTTCTTCCAAGTCGGAATACATCTGCCTGAGAGGCAAGGAACCAACAGTCTGCGTGCAAATGAGTCGACCTGTGAAACTGATGTGCACGCAACACTCAGTTTCTGGAACAGGGCTAGAGTCCAGAAGTGGACGAACAACCAGAACTTTCCGCCGGAGTTTAAAGCCAGTGAACGCAAAGAAAAAGAAGAACATGGCCTGGAGATAATGGTACAGCTGGGAGTGACCCGGGAATCTGTTCGGATCTTTACAGTCAGAGGAAAGGCAAGACAGACATATAATCAATCTGCTACCGGCACCATCGGAATTGGAACCCATCGCTGGCTATTGAAGATGAGGACGGAGCGCTTATGTAAATGTTCTGAGTGCTGTGATTTCAATTCTTAGCACATCCAGCTGGTCCGTGGTATTACAAATTATACCATTAGTAAAACTGTTAAGATGCCTAAGACAAAATACTCTGCTGTCAGGTGTACAAGACATTCAAGACTAGGGACTGCCTGAGGAGAATGAGGCAGGCAAGACGAACATTTAACCAGATTGTGACCGGTACCATCAGTATTGAAACTCTGCGCTGGCTGCTGAATATGAAGAAGAAGCAAGCATGGGAATGCCCCGAGAGCTGTTATGTCTCTAGACTCAACTTAACTCAACTCAGCTCAAGACTGGGGACTCCGAACTTTGCCCATGCGGACTGGTAACCCAGAGTACTTGACATGTGCTTCAGACATGCTCTCTACATCCAGCAGAGACAACCTAATAGAAACCAACCGGGAAGGCTAATCCGGTCAACAAATGCCCGCAGAAGTTGGATGTGCTAGCCAAAAGGTGCAAATATCGCAGCCATGCTGTAAACAGACATAAGGCAATAACATCTTCGGATGAACGCAGAAGAAGAAGAAGAAGAAGAAGAAGAATAGAAACCAAGCTGTATGGGATAGTTGAAGACACGTGTCGCCTGTGGATCGGAAGGTCGTCGTTTCGGGTTCTGAGAGAGCAGGACTTCTTTCAAAACTGGCTTCGACTTCAAGGTCGACCAAGCCTTGAGTGGGTACTAGGTATAGTCCGGGGAATTTAAGGCGGCCGGCGTAATGATGACCACGTCATCCACCGACTACCGATTGGTATATAAAACATAGGTCTAGCCCTATATGCCCAGCATACCTGAAGGCGTGGAAAAGGTTCCTTTGCTTTACTAACCTTTCTAGATAACAAGTTACGGACAGGTGGTCGCTAAATAAAATAAAGAATTAAAGAAAAGACAGAAACGGACAAAGAAAATAGAACTCACCATTTCTCCTACTACTGAGCTGCCCACATAGGCAATAACCACTCTGGGCCAACCAACACACATCTCCAGGGGCAGCATTACAAATAGTTGTACGAAAGTCAGCGTTAAAATATGAATGATTCCGTAAGTTAAGGGTATGGCTGTCAGATACCGCCACCATTGCCATCGAGTGTTGGGTCCTAGCATCCAAGGAGTCTCATCTGTTGAACTGTCGGCCAGTTTGCACATCTCTTTTAAACAGTTCACCTGGGGCAGATTTAGATTTGACGTTTGAAACCATTCTTCGATACGTGAAATGTATTTGTACATATGAAACGCTTCGCTGCTGGAACAAGTTCACAAAGACGCAGGGTTTGAGACAAATTCTATCCGTATTCCATAGTCGTGGATTCAAGTTGTACGATAGACAAAGCTAGAGGACACCTTGTTTTCGTACCTAGCTAGCCATGCGTCTTAGTAAACTTGTTTCTGCAGAGAGACACTGTGGTCGTTTGGAGAATCGGTTCGTATTCGCAATGTTAAAAATAGCTGTAGAATATTATATTGTCTAGTGTGTAGTTCTACTTTTCAGCTTTTGTCTATGAGTGTCAAGCAATACTGTATATGTCTGTCTGTCTGCCTCCCTGCCTGCCTGCCTGTCTGAATACACACACACACAAACACACACACACAACACACACACACACACACACACACACATATATATATATATATATATATATATATATATATATATATATATATATATATATATATATATATATATATATATATATATTCCGAGGTCTCACTTAAAACTGGCTATCCACCTCATGAAAATTTTTAGCTGTAAATTACAACCAATCAGGAACCCGCCCATATACACACTAGCACACTTCTGATTGGCAGTTCTTGAGCCCCGTGGCCTTCGCACACCGTTACGGGGGTGTTCTGCAATGCAGTTGATAACGCGTGTGTATATTTCTGCACCCCAGCGCTTTTAACACTCCAAAAACATGGAGAAACTCGGTCTAACACAACCCCCATAGAGAGTGCTGCAACCTATGACACAGACATTCTCTTTCTCGGAATGAAAACGTAAATGCAAGACATCGCAGACACTAAACAACAGAGCGGGACAAACCCGTAACCTTCAGGAAAGTCGGCCAGCCAAACAAACTTGTGAATGAAAAGTGACCTACTCTATTTGGGGAGACTAACGTCGAACTAACCAACGTTTGTTTAGGAAAAATAGACACATAAAGACGATCTAGAACAACACCTTATAACAAGAGGATGCTAAACTAAATAAATATTAGAAACAAACAGAAAAGACACTGCCCTTTGTCAAGCAAAATACCATGGCAATCTATTGACTGAATGACGTTCAAGCCCACCAGGACATCAAACCTAGCGATAAACACTCGGTGACACAAAGTGCGACCATTCGCATGAGGATCACCCGAGGTAAGGTCCCAAAAACCCCGTTCAACCCACAGTTTAGGTTACATTAGGTCCCTCGGCAACTTGTCCCTTGTATAACAATCACCCTTGCTGTCTCTATTTCATAACTGGCAGTAAGAGAGAAGCATCGTGTCATGAAACCCTTGTTTTTACCTGATTTCATATACTGGCACACATATAGGCCGATTCATCCATCCATTATACTTTCCATACATCCACGAGTATAGCCATCCATCATTCCGTCTATTTGTCTACCCGCACATCTATCCCACTACTCACTTATCCATTCACCTCACCAAACACGATCTACATATCTATCTATCTATCTATCTATCTATCTATCTATCTATCTATCTATCTATCTATCTATCTATCTATCTATCTATCTATCTATCTATCTATCTCTATCTATCTATCTATCTATCTATCTATCCTATCCTATCTATCCTATCTATCTATCTATCTATCCTATCCTATCTATCTATCTATCTATCCTATCTATCTATCCTATCTATCTATCTATCTCTATCTATCCTATCCTATCCTATCTCCTATCTATCTATCCTATCCTATCGATCTATCTATCTATCTATCTATCCTCTCCTATCTATCTATCTATCCTATCCTATCTCCTACCTACCTACCTACCTACCTACCTATCCTATCTATCTATCTATCCTATATCTATCTCCTATCCTATCTATCTATCTATCTATCCTATCTATCTATCTATCTATCCTATCTATCTATCTATCTATCTATCTATCTATCTATCTATCTATCTATCTATCTATCTATCTATCTATCTACCTACCTACCTACCTACCTACCTACCTACCTACCTACCTACCTACCTACCTACCTACCTACCTACCTACCTACCTACCTACCTACCTACCCACCTACCTACCCACCTACTACCTACCTACTACCTACCCACCTACCTACCTACCTACCTACCACCCTACCTACCTTACCTATCTACCTACCTACCTACCTATCTATCTATCTACCTACCTACCTACCTACCTACCTACCTACCTACCTACCTATCTATCTATCGATCTATCGATCTATCGATCTATCGATCTATCTATCTATCTATCTATCCTATCCTATCCTATCTATCTATCCTATCCTATCCTATCCTATCCTATCCTATCCTATCCTATCCTATCTATCTATCTATCTATCTATCTATCTATCTATCTATCTATCTATCTATCTATCTATCTATCTATCTATCTATCTATCTATCTATCTATCTATCTATCTATCTATCTATCTATCTATCTATCTATCTATCTATCTATCTATCTATCTATCTATCTATCTATCTATCTATCTATCTATCTATCTATCTATCTATCTATCTATCTATCTATCTATCTATCTATCTATTTATCTATCTGTCTGCCTGCCTGTCTGTTTGTCTGTCGGCATGCCTGTCTGTTGGTATTTGTTCGCTAGCACAGGCACCACTTTTATTCCACGCGGGTGGACTAATGTCATCCCCACGACTCAACCCTGGTTACGCCACATTGGCCAACCCATTCCTCCCTCTTTGACACTCAGTGTACGCTGTTGTGTCTGTTGGCGTCTACTCCGCCTATTTCTCAGGTATACTGACCCCGTTTTTCGCTTCCCGTCCGCGTGTTGTGATATATATTCATCCTATTCATCCTTTTCGCCAGGGACACAGATAAGTATCATTTATTTTTTATATTAGAGTCCTATGTAGTCACTTCATAGTTAGAGCATATTTGTGTATGTGTAATGTGTTGTTCTTTATGTGCTGATGAAGGCTAATCGCCGCAACGTCATTTGTTTGTTCATTGTGATCGGTTTTGGAAAGCTAATATAAACTATTTGTTCTTTCTGACCCACTTTTTCTCTTCCCTATAATTTTGACCCCTTTAAAAACTTATGGGGACTGGTGAACAGTGTGGAGGCGCAGATACAACATTACGGTCTGAGGGAAATAGCGCTGCGAGGAGTTATCAGGGGATCTGGCCGCAGCTCAACACTCAGGGGAAAGATGAGACGGATAGACAGACTGTTACTGGTACTATCGGAATTGGAACTCTTCGATTGCTGCTAAAGATAGGGACGGAGCACCTACGGGAGTGTCCCGTGTGCTGTGATGTCGACTTTTAATTCCAAAATTCAACATTCTTTCCTTAAATGTCCTAACTTTTTTAAAACTCTGTATAGCTTTACCGCAGTCACCTTATTTAGAGATATCTTATGAACCATGACGTATGGTGGCAGGTACTTACTTGTACACAGTGGTCGAGCTCTGAATGAAAGACTCCTGCCATGTTGTCACATTCTCCTTGAGAACACATGTAACATTCACCACTGAAACCTGAGCAACAAGGCTTGATTACGTGGGCCACGCTTTTCTCGGTGACTGACCTCTCACTGCACCAAACACCCCTCGTCCATTTGCCAAGCCCTGTCAATAATTTGTTGCAGAAAATCAAAAGCAGTGTCTCGCCGTTGCGAATTTGAACAAAGAAGACAAAAACAGTAAACTGTAAAATGTATCGCCTGGCATATTTCGCTGTGACTCGTCAGGTGTATACTACAGTAACAATTGGTACAATTGTATTCTCATCGGTGCAACGGAGTTCGTGCACTGTGCTGGGATTTTTCAGACTCAGGCTTAAGTTAGAAGTAGACAGGTGTACTTATGTGTTATACCCGTGTGCCATGATGTTGATCCAAGCAAGAATCACACTTGTGTAAGGTTCTAGTCACTTTAGGTCGTGAGTGCAGGGACTGGCCAGCTGGTGCTGCAGAATCATAAGTTCAACAAATGATTCATGACAATTCACGCCTAGGTGATATGGTTTTCTATACAGCTGGCTATGTGTTTGAGAAGGAAGTGCATAGAGGTTCAAAGCAAAAGCTAATGGACGTAGCTTAGTGCAGCAAAGCTTGGCAGATGATATTACAGCGTCTAGTTTGAGAACAAAGGTGGTGGCAGTCACTGCTACCCTCCGCTGGCTTAAAAATCAGCTGTACACACATGTCGTGATTGTAACTGACTTACAGAATATTCTGAAAAGTTTTGAGACAGGCACGATCGGTGCAGAATGGCAAGCATCGCTTTAGAGGACCCAGGTAATTAGCGTCGTTTGGATACTGTCACCAGGTCATGCTGGTGTGTAGTATATTGTCGCTGCGGTAGAAAATAACCGACCCAAATTCACGATCAGAGTGACAAGTTAACGGCTGGTTCATCGGACACGTGTTAAGACTTTTGCATCTGGCAGAGAGACAGACATTTATCAAAAAAATTGGCTTTAAGGGATAAGAAGCTCTTTTCCACTAGGTACTCAGACCAGTCTACTGAGTCCCGTATCCCACGACCTTCCGTTGTGTACACAGAAAGCTCAAACCTCTTTTTGAAGCGTTGCCCAGTTGCTTTAGCCCTATTTTACGCTTTCTTCCTCGCAAGCCCAGCTTTTTAGTGCAATATGTGTGGAAGTGGAGATAAGACATATTGCGCCTAGCTCCAAGATTTTTACTGTGTACGCTTTATCCCTCCTCAAAGCGGTTGAGAGGTCACCGTACTCGTCAAGCTTGTACAGGTGATTTTCTTCCATCCCGCGACTCGTATGGCACGGTCAGTTGTATCAAGACGAGCTGGCGTTTTCCCGCAGAGTTTAGGACTATGTCGAGACTCAGGCCAGTCTTCTGGATTGATTCTGGGTACTTTTCGAATCCCGACAGGTCGACCACCAGTAATCAGTCCCTGGCTTGGTCAAGTACTGATAGAGCGTGTGCAAAATTTGTGCCATCAACTTTAGAGATCTGCCCAGCCTTAAGGAAGCGCATGTGGTGGACAGTAGGACTGGCCCTCGCTTTGGTCCTCACCCTGGCTTGATTCACAATGTCCGTTAGCTCTTTTAGGACTTATACGTAAATATATGTGACCGTATAGGTAACAAAATGGGTGGGTTTACTTACTTCGAAACTTGAGGAACTTTTACCGTTGTGCAATTCAAACATATTTATATTTTCTTAAGCAGTCTTCCTGCCTGATTCACAGAGTGGTCATGGAAAGCCCTCTGCGTCCTATTCAGGCTGATACCTTATTGGCCCATTTAGAGGAATAGATGCTGGTTAACCCCCAAATAAGCATGCAGTTAGGAGCGGGTGATTAGGGACGCTTCCTTTAAGGTCGGAGTGGATCTTCCCGAGAGGCAAGGAACCAACAATCTACATACAAATAGGAACTAAAAAATAGAAATGCACGCACAACTGAAGTTTTGGATCAATACCAATTCCAGATGTGGACGAACAGCCACAACTTTCCGCCACGGTTTAGAGTCGATATACGCGATGAAGAAAAAGAAGAACAAAGAAAAAGAATGTCATTTCGAATGGTCTCCCTTCTGATAACAGCTGCTTGCCCAGAGAGTCGCAGAAGAATAAGTCCTGTGGTTCCACCGACAATTACCTTGGATCGAATAAGTAATTTCATTCGTAAAAGTACTCAGTTATTCTTTTTAAGGTTTCTCGTTTTTTTTTTTTTCACTTACCAAGATACTGGATGAGAAGTAGTTGTAGACTATGACCTATTTCCAGATCCCACTTTAAATATGGACTGACAACTGGATGTATCAGCCAATCAGGTTGGTCAATCTTCTACTTCTTCTTCACGTTCACCGACTGTAAACTCAGGTAAAATGTTCTGTATGTTCATCTACCTTCAGACTTTAGTATTGTTCCAGAACCTGAGTGTTCCGCGCTCATCCATTTTACAAATCTGACTTATTTTATTTGTATGCAAACTCTTGCTTCCTTGCCTCTCAGGCAGATCTACTCAGAGTCTGAAGGATGTACCCAATAAATCGACATGCTTGTTGGGGAAGGCGGTGGGCCTATTCTAATTTTGCTTATACAAGGAAGTTAGTCAAACTACCCTCCTTTTGTATACCGAATCCTACGAGTGTAACTTAATATTGGCAGCAGAAATATTGTTTTTAGAAAAGACCGTTTCGAATGCACCGAGTGTCAATATGATCCGAGTATTAAGAGGAGACCAGTGAAAACGTCTATTCATGAACAAGGCGTGCTTGCACGAGAGAAAGTGGACGCGTGGGATTCTGTGTGGTGGGCTGAAAGCGTGGATAACGAGATAAAGTGTGAATTAAGTGACAGCGTGATTCTCGGGTAACATCAGCCACGTCTCCAGTCAGGCGTGTTGTATGCTGAATTAATATCAAGGTCCAGTGAATGGGAGAAGTCGTCCTGTTCAGCCGTACGACGCGCCCAGAGAGTGGGACGCCGTCATCCTGGTGTCTGCAGTAGTCCAGGAGAGGTCACTACACATTGAGAGATAGAGAGCTGTGAGGACAAATGAACGATGTGCGAATGTCAGCTGTGATCAATAACTACGTCTCTGCATTTGTGTCATGTATCCTGTTAAATAAACTTGTATGACGGTGAAAAAAAAAAGTTTCGAATGCACCGCTATTCAAAGTGCTGGGGAATGAAGCTAATGAAGGTAGAACATTGCATGCAACTGTAAGATAGGGAGAATGTTATTCTTTAGTCTGCTCATTTGGTTAAAAGAGAGGCATTGGAAAACATCGCGACTACTGGAAAGACCATCGGTAGAAGAAGCCAAGGTAGACCTAGAGAAACGGCTTCAGGCGGTATAAGGATGGTTTGGCAAGGAGAAATAGCACCAGAAAAATCTACACAGGAGGCGAACAACCTAGGATTGTAGAGTGACATACACTCCTATGTCAAAGATACCAGGTAAAGATGATTAAACAGCTGTGTGAAAACACGTGTAATGTGGAATACGTCTGGGACTGTAAAAATAAGTCAGCTAGCTTACCGTAAGTTAGATTCTTACACTCAGCCTCTGTGGTTGTTCCCGCCGTATTGAAAGGGGAGGCCATTTCACAGCAGCCGAAATATTCTCGGTTTTTCTCATTCATCGCCCTATGTTTATGTTTTGCCTTGCTGGTCGTTTGTTGCTTCAGTGGTCTCATACACGAAGCTATTACTGCCCCTGCCTCTGGTAAAGGGATATACAAAAAAACAAACATATATATAATATGTAAGATTATGTAAAAATTATATTGTTATTGTTGTTACATTAGAATATATGGAATGTAAAGCATTCTTCACAATGATGGGGAGGATCCTTGCGTATGGGTTACCAGATAAAGTTATAAACATATTTAAAGGACTTTATGGAGGATACCAATGCAAAGTGAAAGAAGGACTCATGGAAACAGGATACATCAGGGTAACCTCAGTCCAGGTTCGTCCTTTTTAGCAGCTCTATCCTTACGTCCTTCTTAGGACGTAATTTTTTTTAATTTTAAGCCCCACTCTGGCTTTTGCCAGGGGCCGCAATATAGGCAGGCCATGAATATGGCCAATTGTCTGAACGCGGTTTCTGGGACCTCTTCACGGCGACCCTCATTCCCATGGTGGCACCTTGTGTCATTGGGTGTTTATCGCTTGTGTGATGTCCTAGTGGGGTAGAAAGTTAATCAGTGAGTCAATATATAATAGATCCAGTTTCGTCCTTTAAAGGATGGAATTTTTTGTTATTTGAAGCCCCACTCTGGCTTTTGCCGGAGGCCGCAATACAGGCAGGCCATAAATATGGCTAATTGTCTGAACGCGGTTTCTGGGACCTCTCCACTGTGATCCTTATCCACATGGTGGCACTTTGTGTCATCGGGCGTTTATCGCTTGTGTGATGTCCTGGTGGGGTAGAAAGTCAGTCAGTCAGTCAAGGGGGCATTCTGTCACCTTCCTTGTGTCTCATAGTGATGGATCATGTTACGAAGAAAGCAACCACAGGCACACGGAAACTTCTCCAAAACCTGGAACATTTGGACTTTGCAGATGCTATCTGTATTATCAGCCAAAATAAAGAACATCTGCAACAAAAAACAGGTAAGATCACAGAAATAGCAAAAAAAAAAAAAAAAAGACAGGGTTAAGAAAAAATGTCAATAAAACAAAACTGTTGGAGATAAATGCTAAAAATGAAAGACATATAGTAATAGATAATGTAGGTTTAGAAACAGTAATTGACTTCATTTACCTGGAAAACAATATCTCCTCGGATGGTTGAAATCAAGCAGAAAATTGTAAAGGCAAATGCTGTTACAACAGACCAGAGTGTCTGGAGATAAAACAACTACAGCACTAAAATTAAACTCATGAAGTACCCAAAAAAATGGGTTAGGACGGTTCTCTTGTATAAGCAAAAACCTGGACAACAGACAGAAAGATAGAGCGCATGCTCAGAGATTTTGAGGGAAGACTTCTCAGAAGATTTTTAGGGTTCCTATGGGACGATAAAATCAGCAATTTTAGATTACAACAAATGACAGACTTTGAAGATGTAAATTTAGAAATGAAAAAAAAAAAAAAAAAAAACAGGTGGATTGGACAGAACGAAAAAGGAGAGACGGTCGAGACAGGCAAAGCAATGAACAAGACAAGGACAGCGAGCAAAGGGCAGGCGACCCTTGGAAGCTCAACTCATGGCTACGCTAAGGACAAAACTGGAGATAGAGAGCGTGACTCAGGATCAAACTGAGTGACGACAGTTTGTCTCTGACCTACGTGCCTCTGGGAGCGATGAGGATTGATTGAAGACATTCTTTGTTTGGATAACATTTACCATTGTTGGGAAGTCTGCTAATTATTTGGGTGGGAGGGAAGGGGTCTGTGATTTATTTTTCCTTCAAAAACGATAACTGAATATTAGGGAAGAGTTACACTATACATGGGTAATCTCAACATAGCAACAAAAGCGCAAAACATTAAGTTTAGAATTAAAAACAAAACAAAGCAGAAGTAAGGACAATTGCAAGAATAGAGCAACCAATCAATATAATCATGGAGAACTAATAACTCATTCAAGCAAAATCAAGTACCTGGGCAACATAATATCATCCAATGGAAAAAAATGGAAGCATAAGACTGCAGCATGTTTCTCCAAAGTAAAAACATTAACAGAGAGCCTGACACTTGAACTGCGTGAATCCTAAATGTGACTAGAAGAGGCAGGATCAGAAGTGAGATATCGATTATACAAGCAGAAAACTTTATAGAGAAATACGTATGCGAGATAAGACTCTGAGGTCGAAAAATTTCATCTAATAGAACATAACAAGCTTGCACCCTATGTCTCTTAAATACCTAATGCTGAAAGGCAGAAGACGACTAGACATATTTAAACTTAAAAGTTGACTAAACCAGTCATTTGTTTACATTTACTCTGTTTAATGTTCGCATCTTACTTTATAGAGAAAACGTATGCAGATAAGAAGAATTCTATTAACAATTGCGTATTTACGCAAAAGTCGCCAACAGTAAAATCTATCATCATCATCGTTATATGCCGTATCGATAAGCGCAGCCTGTAATGTTTCCCAATCCAACGCACGATCACTAGAATGAGTAATGTTTAACCTCACCAGGACCGCACAACGGGCGATTAACACCCGGTGACAAAAGATGCCACCAATTGGAATAGAATCCCCCGGGCACAAGTCCCAGAATGTTGAATTAAGAATCGACATCATATCACTCGGGACACTCCCATAAGTATTTTTGGATTCGTGTCTATACGGATGGATCAGCAGAAAACGCAAGCAGAAATGGAGGAGTAGGAGTGTGTATCGAGCATCCAGATATACAGCCAAAATACTTACAGGAAAACAATGTCACAACTATGATGCAGAAGTTCAAGCCATCAAAACAACAGCAGAAAAACTGTTAAATATACGTCATATTTCAAAACCCGTGGTATTTCTGACAGATGCAAGAGCGGTGCTTCAGGCACTCCAATCTGGAAAACTACCTGGTATATGAACATTACTCTCCAAATTAGGCAGTCAGTTAAGGTAACTATGCAATGGATACCATCCCACTGTGGAGTTTCTGGAAATGAAAGAGCCGATAAACCAGCTAAGGAAGGTGCAAATAAAGAACAACCTGACATACCAGTCTCTTGTCAGCAAAAGAAGAGAATAATCAAATCAATCAGAAAGCCACCAAAACCGGCACAAGTCGATTACCATTTTGTGGACAGACCAGAGCAAGTTTTTATTCTATGCCTTAGAACAGGACACAGTCGACTTCGCAGCAACATGTACACACAATTTGAAATCGACGAATCAGCCATGTGCACATGTGGACTGGCACCTGAGACAACAGATCATGTCCTCCTAGAGTGAACAAATACAACATACCAAGGCAAAACTTTTAGCCAAGAGAAACATATGTGTAAGTCATACTGTACGGGTCGCTGAGTGAATTACAAAAGACAGTGAAGTTCATACTAGAGACAACATTGCAGATATAGATAATTTATTTAAAGCCAACGAAAGAAGGAGAAAAAGAAGAACTCCCATATGTGCTCCGTCTTCCATTTTCAGCAGCAAGCGAAGAGTTTCAATTCAGATGACACCAGTAACTGTCTGATTGGAGAGGTCCCAGAAACCCCTTTCAGCCGTTAGACCATATCTATAGCTAGGCCATATTTATGGGCGGGCTATATTCAGGGCCCCCGGCAAAAGCCAGGGGGAGGCTTAAAAATAACAAAAAAAATGCATCCTAAGAAGATCGACTTCAGTATCAACAACTCAACAACTTCATTCTATATCGTAGCACCGTACAAGTATGGGGTGAAGAAAAATCAACAATAATGATTACAATTGTACTAAATATACAGTTAGGAAAAAAATGCATAGTTATCCATTAGCGTGTTTTTATTAGTTTATAAATAAAAAATCCTACTCGGGTACGTGAAAAACAGACTCAAATGTTGTTTCCCGTTTCCAGTAGACATGTGGGCGTGAATTGCGTGGCTTTGTTTTTCAAATAGTTACAACGCAGTGGTCAGTTGTATTCAAGGCCATATTTGTGAGCATAGCTCACGATGCAAGCACGAGAAAGCAACAGATTTTGGGTGAACAGTATTCACTGCCTATGCAATTGAAACACTATAAAAGGATAACACTACACCAAAATATTCAGTTCATTTTCAAACAGTCACGAATGGCGCCTCAAACGATACATTTAAGGAATATTGCTATTGGCCGATCGCAGGCAGGAGAAGGTCAAAGTCAAATTGCTAGGCATTTAAACATGCATTAGAGTACTATCAGTCGACTTTGTCACCGATTCCAACCACCGATTAAGCTGAAGACCGACTTGGCAGTGAACGACCCAGAATGACAACAGCAGCGGACAATAGCTTCATTCACTGACAACAGCTTCCCCAACTGCGCAGGTATTGCCTCCAGGACGTCATCTGTCTGATCGAACTGTTCGGAACAGACTGCATGCTGTTGGACTTTCGGCACCACGACTACACCGAAGACCTGTTTTTACGCATCGCCACCACCAAAATTGACTTCCCTGAGCCAACCAGTATCGTCCCTGGGTAGGTGGTAGTCAACGGAGACGTGTCTGGTTCAGTGACAAATCTGTATTTTTTGTTGCAGCGTCATGATAGACGGCGTAGGGTCTGCCGTAGGCGAAATGAAGGTTCAGCCCAAAATTGTGTTAATGAAGCTTTGCTGCATGGGGGTAGGGGGTGAAATGGTGTGGGAAATTATCAGTTACGACGAAAGGAGTCAAGTCAGGAACATTAAAGGACGCTTCATGCGCAACGATACGTACATGAAATTCTTCGACCACATGTCCTTCCGTTTTGGGATGCGAACAGATATCTTTTTAAACATGACAACGCCACTCCTATTCTGCATGGGTGACCACGCAGTTTCTGGCTGCCAGTAAAACCCTAACCGTTCCCTAGCCATCCCTGTCTGCAGACATGAGTCCGATTGAGCGCCTGCGGATCAGCTTCAACGACGTGTTTGTCGCTGAGACGTTGATCCAACCAATGATCGTGATCTGCTCCAGGCACTCCAGGAAGAGTGGGCAGCCATTCCACAGACCCGCATAAGACATATCTGATGGCTTCCATGCCGAGGAGTGCCAGTCACTGATAAACGCAAGAGAAGGCCACACACCATACTAAAGGGAAAGGTTGTACGCCTAAAAATTATCGTGACCACGATGCGGAAAAAAACAAAACACGTGTTAGTTTATTTGTGGAAGCCTAAGGTATTCTTGTGTGTGAAATTTGAGTAATTTCACTTACTGCATTACAAAGATGCAGAATGTCAAATTTGTGAGTATGTATGTTCCTTTCAGTAGCTATGCGTTTTTGTGTGTGTGGACAGTACATTACTTTTGAAACTAATACATACCAATAAATGAGCGTATAGGTGGCCCCAGCCAGATGTTTGACTCGACCGGGGAAGTGAAGGTCTCTGTACCCAAAAATGTTGGAATGTCTTCCCTAACTGTGTCTTCTGGGACTAACCCTGCGTCTGAGAAGTCGTACTGTACACACAGCACAGTGAGCATCAACACCTGCAGCTGTAATATTGAGATATCGTCACTAAGCGCTCAGATGGAAGTAACAACAACATGGAATACCACAGAGAAGTCTCAGACATGTATCAGTGTGCTGTGTGTACAGGTCCGATAATTAAGTAATGAGACTAATCCCATACAAATTAAAATAATCAACAGTTGAAGATATAACCTGCAATTTTTTTTAAAGTAAGCCTCTTGTGCACTGATACAGCCAGTGGCACGATCAAACAAAGACTGAAACGACCTCTGTAGTTCTTTTGTTGTTATGGCCCTTAAAGTCGATGTTACGGTCATTTGGATGTCATCAATATCGTCAAAGAATCGTCCTTTCTTTGGCAACTTTAATTTTTGGAATAGAACATAATCACAGGGAGTCAAATCTGGGTAAATAAGGTCGATGGCTGAGAACACGACTTGTTTTGGGTCCAACATTTCCAGTACAACTACAGCCCGGTGAGCCGGTGCATTGTCATGAAAAAAAAAAAATCTGTCAGGTGTTGAATACATGGGTCGGACTTGGAAAATAATTTTCAACAGACTTTTCAAAATACTTAAATAAACTGTCGCTATGACCCCCTGCCCCTCTGGAATAAATTCTTTGTGAATAACTTCTTTGATGTTGTAGAAGCACACCAACATTATCTTTACTGTCGACTTTTGAAGACGGATTTTTTTTCCTATTAGTGATGAGAATGACTTCCACTGAGCACTTTGGCGTTTAGTTGTGGGATCATAGCGGAAAATCCATGTTTCATCCTCTGCAACAATCAAATTTAAGAAATGTTTATTTTTGTGACAAGCTTTTATGATGTCTTTTACGTACTGAACACGCTGATGTTATTAACGCCAAATTAGGCTGCTATCATCTCACCGTCAAATCAAACAACGATCTTCTTATGTCCGTTCTCTAACTTTGGCAATGAGTTTCTCACTACGAACATAACTCGGGCGTCCAGGCATAGCTGAATGAGTAATTATTTCCACAACACTTTTGAATCGTGAATACCACCTGAAAATATGTGCACGAGATAAGCAATTATCCCCATATAATTGTCGCATCAATTCAGCTGTCTCAGTGGCACTTTTTCTGAGTTTTAAACAGAATTTAGTATTAATCTTTTTGCTCTATGCTGATTACCTATTGATGCACCTCTGACTAGGTCAACACAATGGCGGCTTGTTTGTTGTCTGCTTATCGGGGGGCGATGAAAAGTTGTCAGATCACAGATGCAGGTTGCCCTTTTGGATTTCATTCGTTACTTCAAAGATGGCATTTATTTAACACATAATCTCTCAATACCTGTTGCAAAGTCAATATTTCGTCTTATCCCTGTCCGAACGTCCGATAAAATGCAGCAAGGGATGTCCGAGGCCTGGCGTCATGAAAATGGTCAGCCTACCTTCCGAGATTGTCTAGGAAGTTAGTGGGCCGAAAAGATTGTTGATGAAGGACCCTTCTTCTGATGATCGGTAGACCTCTGCTATGCATGATCCCCTGACGCGTTCCTCTTCTTCTTATTGTTTAATGTTAGCCATCATTTGTAAGTATTTATTCTCTAGGTATTTAAATTGTTTTCCGGGGATTTCAGATAGGTGTTTATTAACAGAGAAACAAAAATAAGTATGTTATATTTTTAGAAACAGTTATACCAATACAAGGGCGATGGTGAAATGAGGGCAGTAATCAGGAATTCGTTGAACATTCATCCTGATATCCGCAAAGCTTTGATACTCTTTTGAAAGATTTCTCTTTAGTAAATTCCAGTGGGCCAAGTTCATTTCTGTTGGGTCACTGTAGTAATCTGTGAATGGTAAAATGAAACAAGCATTATGTCCAGTTAAGCAGGTGAGAAGAACAGAATTTAGTTCCGAGTCATAAACTTTGTCGATTATGTGTATGTCATATTGTTTTGACACCCCTTTATGCCATTAAAAATAACTGTCAAGAATTTCTTACGCTGTCTTCCTCTGTTTCTTTTTTCCTAAGATCTTTACAGTAGCCCCAACACCTACTTGTTCCCTCTGTTATAATATGACCCCCCCACCCCCCCACCCCAAAGGATGACTGTCTCTTTTTGATGTTTGATAAGTTGTCTAAGAACATAAATTCTAAAAATTCTTCTGTAAAATCACATCTCAAGGCCTCGAGAAATTGTTTCACTTGTTTATTTATTGTTCAGGATTTACAGCCATGTGTAAAAACTGGCAACATTTAGCATGCAATAGTTCTTTGTTTAAATAGAAAACTAAATAAAATAGCCAAGGAACCTTCCTTCATGACAGCAGGCCTCCAGGCAGCTGAAAAAGGATCAAATTTGGGATTTTTGTTGGACAACTGGAATTGCAATTGGAACATTCAGTGACAGGGATTTGTTGCCAAAAATATGTTTTATTTTATCAAACGCAGTTTTAGTCTGTCCTATTCTGTTCTTATCTATATGATACACCTTCCATCGGATTTGATCAATATAAGGTCTTATTAGTGTTTTTATTATTATAGTATGTATTTTGAATGTCTGTTTTTACGCACCCACTGAGATTGATTCCACTAAATAACAATCTCGCAAACTAGTCGTTCCCAGTCTGTGTTACGCAGATTTCTGAAGGTCCGTTGAACAAATGTAAACTGTCCGAGTTTCACCACCCCACCCCAACCCCCACCATCTTAACAAAAATAATTCTTATACACATGGAAGCTATGGAAAACTACAAGAAAGAGACAGCCACTGTTCTTCGGTCATGTGATGAGAAAAGAGGCACTGGATACCATCATAAAGACTGGAAAGATCAACGGAAGAAGAAGCAGAGGCAGACCAAGAGAGACGATGATTGATAATCTTAAGTGATAGTATGGTTGATTATCATCAGTGGAGTTGTTTCAAAATACCAAGGACTGAAATCTGTGGAGAGACATAAGCGCCTGCGCCGCTGTAAAGGTCAATCGTGATGATGATGAATATTTATGGGATTTAATGCAGTTTTCGAAAAGAGGGAGCACGAGTCTGATCAAATAAGAACTACTTCTATGAACACCGTCTAACTGTGCCAGATTTTAATGATAATACCTCTGGCTATCTTGATTATGTCCGTTAAAGAGTCTAGCTTCCATTTGTAAAGCTGCATGAAATAGTTCCGTTCTGTCTGCATTTTGACAATTTTGTACTTGGCGTCAGTCTGCAGAGATATTTAACATTAGCCTAAAACAAAACAAAATAAACATAATATGTTGCAATGAAAAGAAAAAATGGGTGAGGAAAAAGAAGGGCTATCACGATGAGGTGTTGAGGTTTACTTACTTAGAGCGCGACAAAATCAGACTTACCACATCATGGCAAAGTAATCGTAACCTTTTGCCATGTTATTACGCGGTTGTGGCAACCATGAATAAAGATGGTGTTAGAGGTTGGGATTGACAGGGAGATAAAAAAAAAAAAAAAATAGGCTGGCAAAGTTGCCTGTTAACTAATCAGCGAAAAAACCTACGTTTAAAAAAAAGTGTTTGCGATAAAACAGGATCTCTATGCTATTTACTTCAACATACTTTGTTTTAGTTTAGTTAAAGAGTCTGCCTGCATAACTGGCTTTTGTGAAGACTGTTTAAAATACTTACCATGGAAAGCAGTTTGTAATACAGGTAACCACTGCGCCCAGTCAAATAATACTTCATATCTGAAGTCCAGCTTTTTCCCTGCGTTGTCTGCAGTTAAAAAAAAAACGGAAATAAAAATAATAATGCAGATTTGGTGTCACATACGCTCAGCTGTGTTTATTCTATTTGTTTTTAATATATAAAAAAAAAGGGATTTGAACTGTCATTAAAAGGAAAGGCTGCTATCAATGCCTGTATTTACCATTTCTGCGGTTTAGATGGGGGTGGGGTGGATCTTTAAGCCTGATTTAGAGGCGCAAGGCTAGTGCTGACGCCACGCATTGTTCGGGTAAGGTTTAATGAGGATTCGAACTTAGGTCTCCCGCATGAGAGCCATGTATTCTTAACCGTTCGGCCGGCCACTCCTCGAGGTTTTGAACACCAGCCTAAAATTTACGCTTTAATGTTATTCATTTACCCTGTATCATCGCCAGAGCTGTCTGCATCTGATATTTCACACGATCAGAAGTGTCTAAGGAGTGTCTAGGCTCTACTTCTAGTTGTGTCATTTGGCAAAGCCGTCAAGTGTTCCCTTCTCTTATCATTTCCCATCTTTTTTTTACGCCTGTTCTCTTTCTCGTAATTTCCACCCGAAAATCTTGACAGTCTGCACCTATTCTTATTCATGGACACACACACACACCCACCCACCCACCCGCCCCCCCGCCCGCCCGCGCGCGCACGCACGCACGCACGCACGCGCGCGCACACACACACGCACACGCACGCACGCGCACGCACGCACGCACGCACGCACGCACGCACGCACGCACGCACGCACGCACGCACGCACGCACGCACGCACGCACGCACGCACGCACACACACACACACACACACACACACACACACACACACACACACACACACACACACACACACACACACACACCCCCTTTTGCAAAGTCACCATTTCGTCTTGACCTGTCCAAACGTCCGATAAAGAGCAGCAGGGGATGTCCGAGGCCTGGTATTATGAACCATGTCGGACCACATTCCGAGACTTTGCAGGAAGTAATTAGCCGAAAAAATCGTCGACAATGGATCTTTCTACTGATGGTCGGGAGACCCTTGTTGTGCATGCGCCTCTGTAGAGCTCTTCTTAATAATTAAATTACATTTACAATATGTTAAAAGAAAGGAATTTGTTGAGTCCAGTGAAAATTGTGAAGTCCTAAGTTAGGCTGAGTTAGCTGATGCCTCAGTCCAGCTCTATGTAAAACATTGGAGAGCAAAGCTTTTCTCTAAATGTGTGGTTGCACTTACTATAGTTGGCTGGGAATAATCTGAACTGGCTCGTCGCAACAGATCTTCAGATAGCTCATTCCATCTTTGTTGTACCCAATTATATAAGACGTGAACAGACCTGGATAGCCAAGACCTCGTATCGGATATTACTGAAAAGGAAGTGGTAAAATAAAGCACTGTTAGCGTTTAGAATCTTATGTTTGCTTTCCTCTACATTTCTCTCTCTCTTTCTCTCTCTCTCTCTCTTGCTGTCTCTATCCTCTCCTTCTCGGCCCCCTTAGTTTGGGACCATTTACACAATAAAGCTCGTTCTTTTGTTCTATCTGCCTGGGCTCTATTGTAGGATGGGTTTTAAAAACATTAGGAACACCTAAAAATAGGTATATAGTAACTAAGTCGTAAAGTTTTAATTTTAAATAATCGTAACTCTTGTGTGCGCACGCACACACATTAACACACACACACACCAAAATTATTAAAGTAAAGTGGAACGAAGGTGTAGAGTAGAGGTAAAGACAGATAATGAGTACAAGGTCTAACTGTTACAAGCATATATGTTACAGCAGTGAGCATATTGATCGTGGTACAACATGTTAGCAAAATGCTGTCTGTTTTGTGCCTTATCGTCTAAGTTTGCTGGTGACACAGGGTGTTAAAAGGCGGAAAGAAGAGCGTTGACAATGAACAGTGTGCATGACGTCTTCAGCGTTGGGGCGTTGGAACACTGGGGCTTGTGTAAAGTCTGTTCTGGATAGGGACTGACGTTTAGATGTGCGACAAATCACAAATGAGGCAGGGCTACTGAAACAGACGATCACTGAACTACTACAGAAGATTTGAAATTTCTAAATTGTTTGAGAAATTGGTTCTGAAGAGTGCGCCGAAGAACAAAAATCTGTTGATTTCATAAAGGACTTTGGAATAATTTGGAAAGCGAGCCATATTTCCTGCAGTGATTGATAATTATGGTATACCATGCAAGGCATACACTAAAAGAGGAGAGGGACGTAGAGCAAGAGGTAGACCGAGAAAAATATGGGAAGATAACATCAGAGAAACACTACGGCACCACGATGTCTATAGTTGAAACTGTCAAAATAGTACGAAGCAGCACCTTATACCTACCTCGACACGCCAAGCGGTAAAAGAGGACGTAAAGAAGAAGAAGAAGATTGATAATTAGAGTTTAAACCTGATTTTCAAGTAAGATTTCAAGACCAAAATACAGTATTCAGAGTCGGACATTTTCCGGTCACCCCAGCCAAAGAAAGCTTGTATGAGCAATTCTACAGTGAAATCCGTGTTCATCATCAGCAAAATAGTCTTGAAGAACATCTCAAGTGAATACCTAATTTTCTGTTAAGAGGGGTGTTAGCAAAGCGAGAATCGATGCTTTCGACCACAGAGAAAGACTATTTTAGAGGGATAAACTGTTCTTAAATGCATTTTCAACAACACAACAATTTCAAACATTCCTAATACTCTTTGGACAAACTTTGTATACATGCACGCGTGCTCGCTCGCCCTCGCTCGCGCACACACACACACACAGAGTCACACACACACCTATTTGTTTCCCACTTTAACGCATTTAGCATCTTTTTTAATATTATAATTAGCACATTTATACTTTTTTTAAATCATATTGTTATCTTATCACAGTGCTTATCTTGGGTGCCAACACGACCGACTCGAGAATATACCTCCAGTCGGCCGTTGGTGCCTATAGCTGCTTCGTTTGATTTTCTTGCTACTTCCGCTTTCTAAATAATTTCAAAATCTAATCTTTTGGATTATTCAGCTCAGATATGAATTAAACACGCCAAATTGTGTTGACTCACCAGGATGACCAGTTTCGGCTGTATCCACTTTGGGACTTTGTATGCTTTCGACTTTCATGGATCTCTTGAATGCTTTTTCTGTTGATCTATCAGTGTCTGTTAAATAGGTTACAAGATTCTTTTCCTTTGTTAAAAGTCTTGTTTCGGTGGACTTTAATTTGTTTGCTTCTTCCACAGACTTTAGGAAATCTGTTACCAAAATCTCTGCGTGTGCATCTTGGTCACCTCGATAATTTAATGAACAGCCAAAGCCAGATACAGGAGCTGTCGTAGGTAGGATCTCATCGCTGGGAGGTGCTTTACTCGCGTAAGTAGTCCAGAGTTTAGATGACGGGTAAGATGGGCCGCCATGATAATCTGTTGCTGCACGTTCTTCATCTGAAGTTGCATTGCCGACCAAAGCGTTCCAGTTCAGCCCCCAAACATAATTATCCTGTTCGCTGTCTGTGTAGTCATGATTAGTTATGTCTTTCTTGGTCATTTCTGTATTTCTTCGATTAGTATTCTTGTGTGTGTTTTGCTCTGACCGCGAAGATTTTTTAAAAGAACTGAATGCCCTAGGATAATATGAGAATTCAAGAGATGATTTAATGCTGGAGCTAGTATTTCTACATGTTTTCAAAGTGACGTTTACTTTCGAATAGTTATTACTTGCATCTTCAGAGCAATTATCTCTTACATAGTTGTGATTGTCGTCTGTTTCATATTTATTTGGACCAAACATTTCTTGTTGTGGAGCCATATTTACCTCCCACAGCAGATCTAGATCATCTTTATGTAACAACAGTTCATCTAAGCTTCTGTTACTGTATAGGCCCGATTCAGTCTGCTGGAAATCTTCCTCTTTTATGTGATTATATAAACAGTGGCCGTTGTCTACTAGGTCCTCCTCCCAATTAAAAAATGTCTTATAAGCGATGGATGTTGATCTGTCTTTGCTCAGTTTCGGTAAATAGACATGTTCAAATACTTTTTCTTGAGAAAAGATGCAAGGCAGACTGGTTGCGCATATGTGTCTGCAGGAGCCGTTATCGTGGCTAGGGGTAGACGAGTGATGACTGGAGCATACATTATCTGGCCAGCTAGCACAACGTTGTGGTCTAATATCATTAACCCGTGAACTAGGAGCAAACTGAGACTTTCTTACTTGAGCGGCTAGCTCTTGATGTATGATAGTTCCCTTTGTTATATGCATGCAAGTTTCTTCTGTATTTGTTTTATTTCTGGCAGTATCTGTGAATGACTGGTTGAGATCATAGAGGGTCTCTTCCACATTACAATGGTGATTTGATGCTCTGTTCGTATGTTTACTGTACGATCCCAATTTTTCATTCTGCTCTGTATTCCCGCTGTTTACGCGCTGTTTAGAATTTTTCGAATGGAAATTACCGTCAGTTGATCGGTCGGTAA